ATTTGGTTGTACTTGTTATATTTTGAACAATAAAGAATATATTAACAAGTTTGATTAACTACAAGGCACATAAATCTATCTTATTAGGATACTCTAAATTGTCTAGAACGCACAAAATGTATAACAAATAAACTTTAATTGTGGAATAATGAATTCGTGTAAAGTTTGTGAACTTTCAATTTCACAATAAATGAAGCACATCGCAGGAGCAAATAGATTTTGTTTACAAGTGATCACCATTAGTTTCAATGATAGAGTGAGATGTTTTTCAGAGACAATGATATTAGATTGTGAAAAGTGAAAATATAAACAATTTTAACTCAAGAAAATTGCATTCAAGCATTGAATGGCGAGAAATCAAAGTTTGAGCGCCTCACACAAGCAGAGAAGACCGAGATGATACATAAGGGCAGAAGTGTCATTATCTTGTGTCTTGGGGATACAATTCTAATGGAAGTCTCCAGGGAGAATACTATAGTTTTGATATGGTCAAAACTTGAATCATTGTATATGACAAAGTCTTTAGATTGCATGTCGTATTTGTAACAACTTTACTAATTATGGATGGAAGAGAACAAATACATAATGGATAGGTTGGCGTAATTTCACAAGATCATTGAAGATATGAAGAATATTGAGGTGAAGATTGAAGATAAGGATAAGGTCCTACTCTGGTTAAACACCCTACCTAGATCCTTTAAGCACTTTAAGGATGTCATTCTTTATGGTAAGGAAAATATTATTACTTTGTAATGAAGTCCATACGACTTTGATACCTAAATAATTTTCAAAGATGAAATATTTGAAGATTGACGATAATGGTGAAGGATTGAGTGTCTCAAGAGGAGGAAGTGGGCATAGAGGGACGTCGAAATCAAAGATATTTGATAAGTGAAGGTTAAAATATTTTATTTTTCAGAAACCCTGCCATTTCAAAAGGGATTTTCCTAAGAGGGAGGACAATGGAGATTTCGTTTAGATTGTTGTTACATGTGGTGAGTATTATTTTGAGAGTGTTGGTTCATTAGTTGTGTTGAGTTTGGAGACTTAAGAGGACTGAGTCATCGGTTTAGGTTGTTGTTATCACACGTGTCCAAGAAAATAATGCTTTGAGAATTGAAGCTCGAGGAAGGTGAAATAGTTATCCTTGGTAGCAATACGACTTCCAAAGTCATGGCATTGGTATGTTTGATGATCGTGAGTTCCTTATGCGCAATGTGAGATATGTTTCCGACTAGAACCTTGACTCATCCCGTGAAAAAGTGTGGGCAAAATTAGCATGCCTGACAATTTGGCCCGTGTTCCACCCTTACTTTTGTGGGTTTATTAGACAACCGAAGTAGAAAAATATTGTTGGGAACAAGTGGATGTAAGTTGCAAGATCATGGTTCAAGCGAGACTTAAAATTGATAAAAATTATTCAATAGATGTTGAATTGGCAGTGAGAAGCATGATGGCTAATGAGTAAATAAACATCACCGTGATTTCAAGTCAAGGTGGAGATTGTTGAAGTATGCCTTAAAATTTTAAGTGATGAAAAGAAACGAAACATGGTCCGAGATTGCAGAAACCATAAATTAGCTTGGAAGTCGACAAAGACCAAAGCAACAGGGAATCCAGTGTAGAGGGTTTGGTTGGCACCGCACGGAGGTGCCTGACGAGGCGAGTCTGTATCGACCAGATCAGTTTCAACAAACGATTCGGGTTCGTCGAATATCACACCCGATTTAGGCAGTTTGTATGTATTGAGCTTGGTTGTTTCGGTTTGTGGATCAATTTGTTAATGAGTTGTGTTTCGTTCTTGTCTTTACAATCTTCAAAAATTTAGAGTTAAAGTTATAAAGAAGAGTTTGGGTATCCCCACACATATAATTTCTTGGTGTGATTGAATTTTCAATTTCACAACAGTTTGATTACAAAAACAAAAAACTTGACAATGATAAGTCAAATCTATGAAAGAATTTTCATATTTCCAAATAATCTAAAAACCTAAGTTGACACCCTATAGAAAAGATGTTTTTGTTGAAGAAACATATATGAAGCATTTTGACTTTGAAAAAATTCAATATTTTTAGACTGGTAGCCGAATACCAATATGTGGTAGTCGAATACCACTTCTCACAACGTTCATTTTTCAAAATTTGAACACTGGTAGCCCAATATTCTGGTAGTCGAATACCACAACTTTCCGAACTTAAAAAATGTAAATTTTGAACTAGTAGTCGAATACTAATTCTTGGTAGTCGACTACCACTTTTCCTTTTTGCTTAAAAATGAATTTTTCGTGCAGGAATTCATGAATGCTTATAAATGATGATACAAGAAATATGGATTGTAATAAGTACCTTAGTTATGCTTTCTTATCTCAGATTTTAGTTGAATTTCAATGTTCAGGCAATCTTAATCACCTTCATTTATGATACACATGATATTTTTTGATCCTTTTTTTCTTTGATAATCTTTATCCTCATCAAAATTATACTTTATATAAGATGTATTATTCACAGAAGAGTGCAACAAAAAAAGTTATAACATTAGAGTTGATTTTCATTGAAACAATCTTGATTAATATTGAGGTAGAACTCAAAGAAGTTTAAACCCATATTCTGTCTTTGATCATTGTTAGAAGAGTACAACCAAAAAGTTATAACATTAGAGTTGATTTTCATTGAAATAATCTTGATTAATATTGAGGTAAAACTCAAAGAAGTTTAAACCCATATTCTGTCTTTGATAATTGTTACTTATGGGAGTGATTTCTAAAAAAAAAAGTATGACCCCCCCACCCCCACCCACTCATTAGACTTGGAGCCAATAGAGGATGAAAAAAATGAATTGAATGAAGACGCGCCTTCATTCATCTATAAAGTAGATACTAGGCTAGATGATTGATGATGTAGGTGTTGGAGAAGATTTGAAGCTTGTCATGCTATTGAGGCTTGTGACTATTAATTCAGGTAAAGCAAGTTCAAGTTATTCTTAAATGAAAAAGTTAGTGTTTATCTTGCTCAAATTAAGTATGAATGCTATAATTTTCAAAGATATTTTGAGTTATTCTTAAATGAAAAAGTTAGTGTTTATCTTGCTCAAATTAAGTATGAATGCTATAATTTTCAAAGATATTTTGAAGAAAAAGACGAGTACGTTTATGTTTGGTTTATCTTTTGGAAGAGGAAAACAATTCTAAAAATGTAGAATTGATTTTGGAATATTGTTTGATTCTTTTTAAGTATAATTGATTCGGCCTTTAAATTTGATTCTACATAAAAATAGAATTTATAACTTTTAAGTTTAAACATGATATTTACATTAAAATTTTCTTTTTAACTCACTTATAAATAAATTTATTCACTTTACCTTCAATTCACTTTTAACTAGAATCAAATTTACATAATTAATTAATTAATTAATTCAATATCAATTCTTTTCACTAGAGAACTAAACACACACTAAGTTTCTAAAGCAAACATAAACTAATTTGGTTCTGGAAGATGAAGCGGAAGGGAAAGAGAGATAAAGATATTCTAAAAGTTGGTTTGAAAATGAAATAGGTGATGAGTTATGTAATTGAATTGACACGATTTTGTAAAAAAATAAAGTATTAAAAACACACAAAATTCATTTGACTTTTTCAAATATTTTTAAGACGATATATGTGGAATTGAGGATGGACAAATTTCAACTGTAAGAATGAAACTGATCGATCCATTGTATTTTTTTACAAACAATTTGGATCGGGTTGGATGTCAAGGTTGATTCAATTAATTAATTTAAATTGTATAGAATTAATTCATTCAGATTATTATTTTGGATCCATGAAGATCGAACTCAATTAATTTTTTTTTCTTTTAAATTTTATTACTATAGATTGTTCCATTATTAAAATGGAGTTCATCTCGAAGTTATGATATTATCATTTTGTAATTTAATAGAAACATTGTTTATTCAAAAGAATACAAAAACATGCATTATAAAATTTTGAGTGTTATTTATTTTATGGTTTAAAGTATAATAATGATTAAGTTAGTATTAAATGATATTGAAAATGTTATTATGTAATAATAATTTTTTTTTAATGATAAAAAATCATTCTTCTTTGTGATTTTCTAAAATTTTGATAGTTTTTTTTTAATTAGAAATAAATAAATGTTTGTGAATTTTATAATTTTTTTGGATGAATTTTGCCTAATAAATATTAAACCGATCAAACTCACTCGATTTATTCGATAAATCAATCTAATCAAATCTGTTAAAAATTAAAATTTTATTGATCAAAATTGAATTTTTAAAATGAAATTGCGGTTTGCGTCTGATTTAAATTTTGAGCCCAATATTAATCCAAACAACCGATTGTCCAATCTTAAATGGAATTGTTAATGTAATTTTTTTTGACTTTTTATTTTTTTTATCTTGTTTTGTCTTCTTTTTTATTTTTAACTATTCTTAATTTTTAGATGAAAAATTCTGATTAAAGCAAGAAGAAAAAAAATATAATAGAAATAAATTTGTGCAAAAAAAAAAAAAGAAAAAAAGATACACAAAGACAATTTTACTATGTTATGCATAACTTATCTTTTTTACATATAATTAACTACATTTTTTATTTATATAAAATTACTAAAAATTTAGGAGCTAAAAAAGTTAATAAATAACTAAGATATTATAAAAAGAAAGATTACTGTTTAAAAAATAACATAATATAAATCTATCAACAAATCCTACCACATTACATTAATATTTTTAAGTTAATAGTAGAACATAATTAGCGATAAATTTTTTAAAATTATTTTACATTATCATTCGATTAAGTTTTATTATTTTGACAGTATAAGAAGAAAGAAATATAAATGAAATAATTATTTAAATAATTTAAATGATTAATTATAATTGGAAGAGAGTCTAAACTAGTTTCGGAATCAATGGAATATTAAAAAGAGCTTTTAGCACAACACAATGCCAAAAGGAATGTAACAATTGCTGTCTTGGTTTCTTTTTCGAAAATGTCGACTTTGTACAACACTCTGAGGAACACAAGAAACATAATTGCTCCTCGCATACGTGCCTTTGCTTCTCAAACAAAAACCAACGACACGCCAACACAGTTACTGTACCAATTGAACAAAAAGATATCCCATTTGATTCGAACTGGTAGACTAACGGATGCGAGGGCATTGTTTGATTCCATTGATCACCGAAACACAGTTACTTGGAACTCCATGATTACTGGATATGTTCAACGGAGAGAGATAGCTAAGGCACGCCATTTGTTTGATGAAATGCCCCACAAGGATATTGTGTCTTGGAACTTAATTATATCTGGTTACTTTTCTTGCCGTGGAAGCCGGTTTGTTGAAGAAGGAAGAAAGCTATTTGATCAAATGCCTCAAAGGGATTTTGTTTCTTGGAACACTGTCATCAGTGGTTATGCCAAGAATGGAAGGATGGATCAAGCTCTTAAGCTTTTTAACTCTATGCCACACAGGAATGTTGTGTCTTGCAATGCTATGGTAAATGGGTTTTTGTTGAATGGGGATGTGTATTCGGCTGTTGAATTTTTTAGGACTATGAAACAGCGTGACTCAGCTTCGCTTAGCGGTCTTATATCTGGACTTGTTAGGAATGGTGAGTTGAATATGGCTGCTAGGATTTTGATTGAGTATGGGAATGAGGGCGATGAGAAAGATGATTTGGTGTATGCTTATAATACCCTGATTGCAGGGTATGGTCAGAGAGGAATGGTTGATGAGGCACGGCGTCTTTTTGATGGGGTCATGTCTGGTCAAGGGAGATTTAGGAGAAATGTGGTATCGTGGAATTCGATGATGATGTGTTACGTGAAAGCAGGAGATGTTGTCTCTGCTAGGGAACTCTTTGATAGGATGATGGAGCGGGATGCTTGTTCTTGGAACACCATGATCAGTGGTTATGTTCAAGTATGTAATATGGAAGAGGCTTCAAAGCTTTTCTTGTTAATGCCGAGTCCTGATGAACTTTCATGGAATTCGATAATATCCGGGTTTGCGCAGATTGGTGATTTGATACGTGTGAAAGAGTTCTTTGAGAAGATGCCCCACAAAAACCTGATCTCGTGGAACTCGGTAATAGCTGGTTATGAGAAAAATGAAGAGTATAAGGGTGCTATTGAACTATTTTCTCAGATGCAGCTTGAAGGAGAGAGACCAGACAGGCACACTTTGTCATCAGTTCTCAGTGCATCTACTGGGTTGGTTGATCTTTATCTCGGTAGGCAGATTCATCAGTTTATCACAAAGACTGTTATTCCTGATTTGCCAATAAATAATTCCCTCATTACCATGTACTCAAGATGTGGGACAATTGGTGATGCACGCGCTGTGTTTAATGAGATGAAACTTTATAAAGATGTGATTACTTGGAATGCAATGATTGGAGGTTATGCTTTTCACGGTTTTGCTGCACAGGCTCTAGAGCTTTTCGAACTGATGAAGAGGCTTAAAATTCAACCTACCTATATAACCTTTATTTCAGTTTTGAATGCATGTGCGCACGCAGGATTGGTTGAAGAAGGGAAAAGGCAGTTCAATTCCATGATTGGTGACTATGGTATTGAACCGCGGGTTGAACACTTTGCCTCCCTTGTGGACATCTTGGGGAGGCAGGGACAGCTTCAAGAAGCTATGGATTTGATTGATAGCATGCCGATGAAACCGGATAAGGCTGTGTGGGGTGCGCTTCTAGGGGCTTGTAGAGTGCATAATAATGTAGAATTGGCCCAAATAGCAGCTAAAACATTGATCAGTCTTGAACCAGAAAGTTCAGCTCCTTATGCGTTGTTATTTAATATATATGCTGATTTAGGGCAGTGGGATGATGCTGAGAGAGTGAGAGTATTGATGGAAGAAAATAATGTCAAGAAGCAAGCAGGGTATAGTTGGGTAGATTCTAACAATCATTAATGATGATTTTTCCACTTTTAGAAGACTTCTATCATCAATCTGCAAAGTACCTCAGATAATGATATTGTTAGAACTTAGAAATGCTTCTATTCAACTTAGCCAAGTTTATATGGTCAGATAGGAAATTGATCTTGACTGATTAAGTCGATAGCGACATAAATGTTAATTTGACATGGAAGAATAGTGTGTCTTCTGGCAAAAATTTGGAGGTAAGAAAGTGGTAGTTTTTTTATTATTCTTGGATGGCAAAAAGGTTGTGAATTTGTAGCTGCAGGCAACGGTCATAAATATCATAACTTTTTTCTGTTTCTTTTAATAGATCTTTGCCAGTGTCAGCGGCAAGAGACTGCAACCTTGGATTGCTGCAAGATGGGTACGTTATTACAAATTCAACTGCTTCTTGATTAAATATTTCTTGGTGTTATATGCATCTGGTGGTAAATATATGATCTTATGCGTGGAATCTTTCATACACACAAGTTACTGATAGAAACCTGTAGCAAATAGAAAAATATAATAGAAATAACTTACTGTTAATGATGAAGAATAGGCAGTACAATATCCAGACACACAACACTCACAAGCTTGACATAAATCGAATAAAAGATAAAGGATTCATGGTCTTTCCCGTTCAAGAATTCGAGAGCTGATCTCTTCCTTCCAAATAACCACTTTCTAATTTTTAAGATAATCCAGTCTGCAGTTTCCCTTTTATTAACACATAATATATAACTAACTTAATAACTACTTATTACAAAATAACTGGAATAACTACCACAATATAACCGCTATTGTAAAAAATATAATATTTATTTAACAATAATAAATAGTCAAAACAGTTACTAGCCCAGCTCTTAACTTGACATAGAAGAAAACTTCTTCAATTGCACTGCCCATGAGAAAGAAGTGAATATAGAGCGCGAAACATTGAGTAACTTTGTTTTAGTCGCTAATTTAATATTGTTGATGTAAAAATATTAGAACTAAATTATTGTCACTTATTGTTTCTGAATCGCTCTACCATATGCAAATGCAATGGTTAAAGTGATAAGGAGCTCTGTTGCATCAAATGGGGCAAAAGTGGATATATCACCTTTGCTGCTATTCATTAATATATGAACAACTTGATATCTATAATTGTTTACCAAATGTATTTCAGACAAAAGAAAAAGAGCCATGTGCTGCAGGCTTCTGAAGAAAACTCATGAACAAGGTAGACCATAGTTTGACACACGTTAATATCTAAATAGCCGATTCTGATTTGTATTATCTAATTTTTAAGAAAATGTGCAGCAGGAAAGGGGAAAAGTGCAATCTTTCCATCATTTACACATCCTCTTGGATTTCAAGAGATACAAAGCTAGGATTTCCCTTTCGTTGTCTCCATGCAAACCGGTCAGTGTTACGTATTACCTTTTCTTTATTGCATTATTAATATGGTTGTTCTTTCAAAGAAAAGGAATGTCAACAGTAGGAGCGTATCGGGGAAATACTGACTGTGGGCCTATGGTGTGATGCAACTAACTGTCGTTGATGGAAGTGGAGAAGAGAAATTGCAGCAATGACATGACAGAAGATAGAATATATTACAGAATTTTAGATGCCTGTATGTTTAATATTTCTGGGTTTGATTATTAGTTGTAAGGAACACATGTATTTAGATTATTTATTGGTTTTGGTTATTGATGTAAAGGCATACTACAGCATAATAATGTATTTAGGATCATACGAAAGTGGTACTCACATACTAAGCTAGCTACGGTGAATGAATATGGCATGCTACATCAGCTCTGCTTTAATATAATTTTGGCTTCGATTTTAATTTGAATACAATGTTTTCAAACTTATTCGTTTTGTTAATTGTCTACTCAAATGTAGATCTAGCTTCAATTTTATGAGTGTCCAAATCTGTTTTAAACTTCTTTTTTCACGATTGAATAAAAATGAGTTTGTTAGCCAAATCTTTGACTGGACCAAATTCAGACTGTGAGTTTTTAACCAGATCCGTTAACACTTGTCCATTAAACACCACAAATGATGCAATATTTCCATAATTGAAAATTATACAAAAAAGAAAGAATATAATTGTTGTGAATTGGATACCTTCAAACTAAGTATGAACAATTTCTTTGTGATCAAGAAACACACAAAAGGGTTAGGGTTAATAAAGAAGAAAACAAATAGGATTGGTTATTAAACTGTTATTCTTTCCTTTCTCTTAGAACAAGATTACAAGTATACAAAAATAACAAAATAACTTCTCTCTCTTGAAATTAGGATTTTATCTTCCTATTTTTCCTTATGTCAAGATTGAGAAACTAGTATTCTATTTATAAGAAAAATAGCACACTAACCTAATGAGCTTTTTAACAATTACCCATTACAAGCTAACTTAGGGTACCAACTAACTTAAACAATTGAGCTTACAAGCAAGACTCAATTCAACATGATAACAACCCTAGCAATATTGACTAATGCATGTTAGAACACACTTCGACTACAACACGCATTACTCGCGAACAGACTTCGACCATACTAGAATTCGATCAAACATCTCACAAATCTCCACCTTAGATCTAACTCTGTAACATTAAGAAACTAGCTTTCTTCATGCAATTTTATTAACTGCATACAGTAGAAAAACTTGCAATTGGTCAACGTCTTGGTGATCATATCAGCGACATTATGATCTGTCAAAACCTTCAGCACTTGGACTTCTACATGCTCGATTACCCCTTTGATGAAATGCAGTCTCACATCAATGTGCTTGGTTCGCTCATGATAGGCTGAATTCTTCGACAGGTGTATTGCACTTTGACTATCACATTTAACAGTGATAACTCGACCTTGAAATTTTAACTCCTTTGCAAAACCTTCAAGCCACAATGCTGCTTTCACAGCTTCAGTTAGGGCAATATATTCCGCTTCAGTGGTTGATAAGACAATGACCTTCTGAAGTGTTGCTTTCTGTCGCGGTGAAAATCGGATACCAAACTATTGATTAGTTTGAATCTTTAATTCATTTTGCAACCGAACTTTGATTTGTCCAAAGGAAGGGATAAAGATCGAAATTCCCACAATGCAATGCAAATGCAAGCTAGATTGTTTTAGGTTCGGGGGTTGGTTAAACTTAGGGAAGGTACTAGCATCCTAAGTTTCTGTAGTACTCTACAGGAACCTCTTATTTTATGTTTGTTTACTGCTAAGTGTTTATCTGCTTAATGGCTTAGAGACCCTAGGGGTTTATTTCTAAGTATACTCGATAAGGCATCGCACCTTGTGCCTACATATCCTTACGGGAGTGGAATCAGAGTATGTTGTAGTTCACCCTAAAGGGTTAGAGGAGTCCTTTGACTGTGGTCAAAGTTCCTACGGGTTTAGGGTAGTTGTTTTGATTGGGTTTAGGAGAAGAGATGAGTCTTCATTTTAAGGGAGAGATAACCACCACAAATGTAAAAGGGGGGTTGTAGGAAATGGTCTTTGCATCATCTTAAGAAAAGGTCTTACACACTCGGATGGTCGCCAAGCATGCCTTTGTCGTTCTTAAGGCAAAGTCCCTACATGTTTGATTGTATTGTTTGTGGGGTGGAGATTATATCTCACTTAAGATGATTAACATCTATTCTCTAATGTGTTTGTAGAATTGTAGTGTGTGTTGATTGTGTTGTTTCTATGTTGTAAAGATTAAGGTCCTTCCTATGGGGTAGGTCCTATCCTAAGCGATCAACTTGAATGGACTCAAGGATCGAAGGGGATATGATGCATATGACGTGCGACTACACACAACGTTGAATTATGTGTAGGTTTTTCCTTCGGACGGAATGCAATGCATGGATATAAATATGATAATGTAAATGAATTGCGGTAATGTAAATTGCAGAAAGATAAACCATACACATACGCATGAAAGCGCTAAGTGAGTGTGTGAATAGTGTATGTGATTGCGGGAATAGAGTAGATAACGATAAATGTAAATACGCATGAAAGCGCTATGGTGTAGGTGCATGTGTCGTGAGTGTTGTGAATGTGCACGATTGATTTTATAGTTGAAATTGATTAAGTTATTTTGCTATGCTGTGAATAGATTTTAGAGAAGATCGAATTGTTTTTAAAAGTGGCATTATAAAAAGACTGATTGTCGAGATTGATTATGAAGTTGACTTTAGTTGGGAATAATTTTAGATAGGATTTATTAAATAAAAATGTTTTTTTTTCGAGTACTATCATAAAAATAAATTAATTTAGATTATATTATTAGTTATCATAATTATCCTACAAAATCATTTTAAGTACGAACCAGTTTTTCAAAGTAAGAGGAAGTATTATTAATTTAGAAAAAGGAGTTTATTAGTTTATTTAAATTAAAAGGTTGATTAGTGGATTAATTGATTAATAAAACAATTATAAAAAAGAGGGTGATTTATTTAAAAATAACTGAATTGGTAGTAAAAAGACAAAAATTAAATTAATTAGTCAAATGGTTATTAGTTTATTTTAAAAGATTGATTATAGTTCTGATTAATTAAAAAGATTAAAATGGGTGAATGATTAAAACCAGTTAATTAAAGTCGATGGTGAGGTTAGCGATTGATTGTGTCAACGTGTGTGATTTGTGTGGTGAATCATCAAGTTATGATAATAATGAACAAACAGAGATAAAAAAAAGATGAACCCTAGGTTCCCTTTCCCCCAAATCGATTCCCGTTCGTCTCCCTCTCCATCTTACTTTCGCTACCCTTTGTCTCCGACTCTCGCCTTCCGTTTCCTTCCCATTTTTTGAGCCTGAAAACACAACACAAGCATCAGCAGTTCACTAATTTAGACATGGATAGAGCCTTACCGAAAGTTGGGATGGCGGTTTTAGCGGCGGCGACGACTTGGATGATGATGGCCCCAAGGTTCCGACGACCTAAGGTAGATAAGTTCTCCTTTCTCTTTCAGATTCTCGACCCTCCCCTTTTTTGTGGTGATTCGGTCTCCTTATATAGGCTTTAGATGGA